AAAATATGCAATTTTTACTAGAAGGAAGCTGCAAGAAACTGATATGAACATCACCCAGACCCGGTTACAGAGATAGGACCTGTAACAGTTTTATGGGACTTTGCAATACACGTAGATAGAACAATCAAAGCTAATCACATAGGCATCGTGATCAAAGGCCACAAAAACAGAATGCGCTTTCTTGGCATGGGAGTACCTTTAGACTGTAATGTATCGTTAAAGATTTTCAAAAAACTATCGAAATACAAGGATTGTAAAATGGAAATCTCAAAACTGATTGGAAAAGTTTCCGATAGACTCATTGAAGACCATGCCTAAAAGAATTGCAAAAATTGTACTGACAATTACAATTCACATATTGCGAAGAGCTTTATCTATGTAAAATGTGTATGATCTTAGGTGGGGATGTTTTGTTTTTTTAAAAAATTGATCATGGAAGATGTCATGAATCATTTCTGACCTTAGGTCTCTGGTTGGGACCCGGAAGAAAATGTGTATATAACAGAAATCAAAATAATAATAATAATAATAATCTCGTTAGAATACACAATATTACAGTGTTGAACTAGATCGAAGTGACTATCGGAGTTAAAATTATAGCCCACGATATTGAGTGTTAGGGTAAAACTAATCCTGCAAGAGGCCCCAACTTCGCCGATAAGACGCAGAACAATAATTTAGCTATTTCTTTATTTCTTTCTCATATGTTGACAAATGCTAGAATAAAGACTAAGAATTTTCGTGGTATACACACACTAAACCGGGTTTAGTACAACACAAGCTCTACTAATAAGCTTCTAATAAAAGTTCAGACAAACTGAATGCCTAAGACGCGTTTGGTAATAAAAAACGTATAAATGCCAACGACACGGCGACTCTTTTCTTAACAGGCCACCATGAATTCAGGAGATTTTTGAAAGGATAAAAAAATTGTGTTATTGACGCATTAAATGAAACTGTATTGCAACATAGGTCTCTCTGTCTCTGTCTGTCTGTCTGTCTGTCTCTGTCTGTCTGTCTGTCTGTCTGTCTCTCTCTATCTCTCTCTCTCTCTCTCTCTCTCTCTCTCTCTCTCTCTCATAACATAATTAGAAGATACTTTTTAAATTTAATCCCCATTCTCTTGGTGAAGGTAGCTGTTGAGTGTTAGCTGAATATATTGTCATGACAGTTTGAAAATTTGACATTCTATTGACACAATGTTCTCACCAATTCCAAATTGATTTCTTTCTGTTTCCTTCCTTTTTTTTCTTTCTTTTTTTTGTCTTTCTTTCTTAACGATGGTTAGAAATATAAATAAATATGTTACAACAAATAAACAAATAGAAAATCCTCTCTTCGAATAAGTCTCCACTTGCTCTGGTTTTCATTCTATGTTTAAAATCGGTTCTTCTTTGAAATGAATCCAATAAAGAGTGATAGGTAAGGCGGGTTTTCAAGAAGAAATCTACACCGTTTATGAATGGACATTGAATCTATGCATAATAATTCAAGACACATACATATATATATATATATATATATATATATATATATATATATATATATATATATATATATATATATATATATATATATATATATATATATATATATAAGGGTTTTCCAATAACTTGACAGATTTTAAATGTGAATTAAGTTTAAGCGTCAAATGATTTTTTTCTTTCAGATTTAACAACTTAAGTCTTTGGCAATTTTAACCATGGAAAGACTAACAATCAAACAACGTGTTGAAGTTATCGAAGCCTATCACGAAAATGGACGTTTAAACAGAATTTGAATGAGAACTTCCCAGGTCGCATCATTTCTCAAAACAATTAGCCACCACGATCGTGCGACTTGTCACCTTCAGATTTCTTACTTTGGGGTCATAAATAAAAGCATAAATATACATATACCCAAGTTCGAAGTACAACTTAAAGTTTCGTTGTTCTACCAACTTATCAGGCACGAATTATTACTTTTATATTATATATATATATATATATATATATATATATATATATGATGAATAAAACAAACAAAAAACTTATCTTCGCCGACGCGTTTAGTCTACTGATGGATTGTATCAAGGCAAATGTAAGGAATTTATTTTGCAACAAGTAACATGATCGGCATCTCCTGACGAGAAGAAGAATTTATATATACATTTCGGAGTATTTTTCTTTTTCTTTTTTTTTATTTTCAGTGATATCATTCTCTCTCTCTCTCTCTCTCTCTCTCTCTCTCTCTCTCTCTCTCTCTCCTCAGAAAATGTTCTCATCTATAAAATAAATTCGAATGTAAGGGTGTCACACTTTTTGAACTTAAAGGAACACAACTCTTTAACTTTCAATAGGTCATTTCAAATGAAAAAAACTACTGTTTTCAAATTACAGTGTTTCAAAATAAAATTGTTCGTGTTTTTAACTTTACTCTTAGAAGCCGTGGCCCAACATTTTGGAATCACGCAGACTATGTGAGCAAATTTTAAAACATTCCGAGCCAAATCCGGACCCACCATCTTGAAATTTTTGATTCCCAAGTTTTCATTACTACGATTGTTTTCGGCAACCTTTGCCTCTGTTTATCGTCGTGTTGCTGAGGCAGGATCCATGGTACCACAAACTATGGCTCGAGGAAGAACACATTCTGGAGGCTGTCGGAGAAGATCCATGTATTAGCACACGTCAAATACCGCATCCTTATTCTTATCATTTGCAACGTGTTCAGGGTCACTCGCCCTCTGATCACCCACCACGCGAGAACTTTTGCCGATGATTTATTTATTTATTTATTAACTACCTATCCGTTGTTTGTCTCTCCAGTCTCGTTTACGGATGAGGTAAGATTTGGAAGAGATGGAATAACAAACCAACATTTGTGGATAGATCGGTATCCCAATGGTACAATAGAGGCTAGACACCAACATCCGTTTACGATTAATGTGTGGGGTGGAATTGTAGATGACTGTTTGGTTGGTTCATATGTTTTCTTAGAAAGTCTTACAGGAGCTGTCTACAAGAACTTACTTTCGAACACACTTCCAGACCTGCTAGAGGGTGTACCCCAGCTAATACGAAGACGAAAGTGGTTCATGTATGATAGGGATCCAGGACGTTTTCGTCAAACTGTTCGCGATACACTGAATAACATCTACTATGAAAGATGAAGGATTCTACGGCCTGAAGGTACCCCGATCTCAATCCTTTGTATTTTTATTTGTGGGGCCCACCTAAAACAATTGATTTATTCAACAGACATTAATAATGCAGAGACACTTCATCAATGTGTCATGGGCGCCTGCGAAACTATTCGACTCCATGTGGGGGTATTTGAAAGGGTCCGCCAGTCAATGATCCGACAAAGGCACGCGCGGTTAGAAGCAAGCGGAGGACATTTTGAAATTTTGTTATGAGTTGCCTTTTGGAAATATGGACATTTTATCCTGTTTTAGTGTCAGGAATCTGCCCTAAAGTTTGTAAATCATTTTCGGATTATATCTTGGATTGTACATTTAACAACGTCTACCGTAAACTTTAAACTTAATAACTCAAATATAATGGATTTACGGACATAAGTTTATATGGACTTTTGTTTTTGTTTTGGCATGAGAATCCCGCCGCCAAAGTTTTTAAAACAATTTTTAATACACCCTATATATATATATATGTGTGTGTGTGTGTGTGTGTGTGTGTGTGCGATGGACTCTCCCGTCGAGTTCGATATATGAGATTCCGATGACCACCTACTAATTGTCTGCATGCCTATGACGGGCATGACTTTTCAGGCTGTCTCGAGAAATGCATAAAAGACCACAAACATTACAGGAGAAAGTATTGTATGCAAATGCAACAGAATCATTGTTCACTGTTTTATTTCGCTTTCGTGTTTCACGCAGTGCACTGATGCTTACTGCTTGATGGTGCATTATTCCTGCATAGCAGCGGGAACGATATTCTGATCTCCTCATCGATATTTCTTCAAAGTTCTTGAATGGGATTTTGACGCAAGAAAGGCTGCTCTTCACTTTATCTTTATACCTGAGCCAAGGTCTACCAACATTTTTATGACTTCTATGGAGTTGACAATAGAAAATAGCTTTTGGTATACGATCATCACTCATCCTTGACACATTGCCAGCCCAAAGCAGTTGTGATTACACTACGAAGGTCTCGATGGTACCAATCTTGTATTTCTCAAAAAGGTTGGCATTTGACACTCAATCATCAAACGTCAGTTTACAGATTGTACGGAGGCAGCCTTTATGGAAAACATCTAATCGACTAGTGTGCCATCTATAAAGTTTCCAAGTTTCAGAGCCATACAGAAGTGTTGACAAAACGACAGGTTTGTACACTTGGATTTAATGCAAAGTTTTATTCCCCTTTCCTCCCACAACCTATGATGCAGCGAACCAAAGGAAGCGCTGGCTTTTGCAATGCGATTAACAATCTCGTCATCAAGTGATGCTCTTGAATTTACCATGTTCCCGAAGTATTTGGGAGATTCCCCATACTTGAGATTCTTTCCATCAACTTGTTAAGAGACCACAGGAAACTTACGAACAGGGGATCTTTATTTAACACTTCGAATTTGCATCGGTGTCGGTCAAGGTTGATGAATAATTTCAGTTTTCTTGACGCTGATGGTAAGTGCGAATGACGGTTGAGTAAATTTTAAGCTCCCTCTAAACAGTTAGCTACAAGGACAGCGTCGTCTACAAAAATTAGATCGCATATAATACTGGTACGTAAAAGTGTTTTGGATTTAAACCGCTGATGGTTAAACAGTCCTTCATCATTTCGAAAATGAAATTTAACGCCAGTTTTTTTTGTTTTTGTTTTTTTTTTTTGTATCAAGAAAAGCATATCTCAGCATCATCGTGAAGAACAGTGCAAACAAAACAGGTGCCATGACACAGCCTTGCTTAGTTCCATTAGTGGCATCAAATGGATCAGAACGCTGACCATCAGATATAACACTAGCTTGCATACCGACATGAAATGAAATGATGACTTTCAACATAGATAGATAGATAGATAGATAGATAGATAGATAGATAGATAGATTTGAGGGTGGACTATATAAATATATATATATACACACAGATATACTCATATCCATATACACATAGATAGATAGATAGATAGATAGATAGATAGATAGATAGATAGATAGATTTGAGGGTGGACTATATAAATATATATATATACACACAGATATACTCATATCCATATACACATAGATAGATAGATAGATAGATAGATAGATAGATAGATAGATAGATAGATAGATAGATAGATAGAAAAAAGATAGATACTTCCAAAAAAATGACAATATCAGTTTCCTGATTATTTTAATGACAATATTTCACCGTTTCTCTCTGATTATGGTCTCTCTCTCTCTCTCTCTCTCTCTCTCTCTCTCACACACACACACACACATATATATATATATACATATATAAATATATATAGCAAGGCAGGTGACTTGCTTATTGGAAGCTATTGATTAGAAAGTTTTAAGCTTCCTGTGGGTGGTCCAAAGCAATCTGTCGGACTGAGTGATTGGTGATGAATGATATGACACTAATTGTGGCCTTTTCTTTAAGGTCAATTGTTTTAGCTAGAACTGCTTATTTTTCATAAAAAAATGACCCTCAACAAAGTGTTGGTCAGTTAAAAATGGCAATGTCTTCCAAAATAACTGCTGTTTAAGCTAAGATGAACTTTATTTTATAATCCTTACTAAAATATCTTCCGCTCAATCGATACACTTTCACCATCGTGTTTTCTGTTTATACATTCTTAATAGGAAATCTGAGAACCATCCTCACGGGCTTATGTAAATGGAAGTACAAGGTATGGGAGTAATAGCAACGAGACAATATTTCTAAAATCTATAAAAGATAGGAAAGTTTAGAGAGCCATGATCACCCACGTCCTAAAGAAACACTGCATCATAAAAGAAGGAAACGAAGAATGTATCTATACTTGTAGGGAGAAGAAAAACAATCAACTGAAAACTTGCTTACAGACCTTTTTTTATTGATAGGCTCAAGAGCCACTCGAGGTAGAGTGTTACGGAGTAAGAGACACAGTTTATGGGGCTTTGTGTGGAAGATAACGATTGACCGTAGACTTGAGCAGGTTAACATTGTAAAAGAGAATTCATGGGAGTTGGTTTCTCAAAGCAGAAAGGAAAGAGTGCTGATCTTCTAGGTAATATCAATCCTCCTATGTGGCAGGGAATGCTGGACAATTTTTTCATAGACGATGAAGAAACATGACAACAGAGAATGTCAGCGAAAGAGGCAACTGGCCGCTCGTATCCGAGAATGCCTCTCCAATGTTGCAGACGTCTGTTCAGACCCATTTGTGTTTGCTCAACACCCATATAGCCCACCTATGGGTTATGTGCCAACTATGCTGAGCTGACCTTAGTTACAGTTTCTGGGAGATAGCGCATTATATGGCGTGTTCAACAGCCAGAAGACAGTCAGCACGCTCAAACCCCCGGTCACGATGACTCAGTGGCGTAGCTAGTGTTTTTGCTGCCCGCGTTAGCCCTCAACTTTGCCACCCCTTCCCAGAAGAATTACAATATTACAATACACATTACCCCTTAAAGTTTTTATATATATATATATATATATATATATATATATATATATATATATATATATATATATATATATATTTTCAGCATCTCACCCCAAACAAGGAAGGAAGCCACTAGGACGCAAGGGGTTACAGAAAGTTTAGAGAAAGATCAGATAGGAGTGATAGAAGAAAGGATGAGGGTAGTGGATGGATCAAGGCAACTGGAGATGTCGATTGACATTACACTTGAATAGCTGGAGATTATAGATCACAGGGAAACAGGAATAGGGAAGGGAGTTCCACAGGCGAGATATATATATATATATATATATATATATATATATATATATATAGTCAAGATGTTACTTCTTTTTTCCTAAATCGGGAAAGCTTCAGAAACCTTTTACGATATTGTTATTTTCAAAGCGTAGCTTAGATGTGGCACAAGGCCGAAAGTATGAGGCACCCAGTGAGTATCAAACTTACTACTCAGTCGTAATTGTTCTTGCGAGACAAGCCTGCTAACCATTACACCGCCTGGAGGTGCCCCTTTTACGATATTAAAAGAAAGATAACTTGCTTTTGTTTATATACTCTCTGTTTTAGTTAAAAAGAAAAACAAAAAAAATACATTGTAGTTTTAATTCATAATTTATCAGTTTTTTTAAATATTTATTTCAATTCTAACAAATGAGGAGTCATAAATTAAATGCCACGTTTATAGAGACACGGTTTGTTGGTTCGTTTTTTTTAACAATGTAAAAAGTGCAATGTCTTTTTAAATTATTTTCTTTTATGTAGTTGGAGTTATTATTAGCAAAGTAGTAGGATTAAAAGTCCGATAGAATTAATTTCACTTTTAAAAACTGAAATAAATGTTATCATACTTTTAAAATACTTAGTCTATTTTGCTTAATAAAACTTGAACTATCGAAATAAAAAATAAAACATTACATTATTTTACTACAGTGAAAACTTGTAAATTGAAAAATTGAAAAAATAATGCCTATTTTGGGATTTTATATAAAGTTTTTGCTCTTGAAAAATATATTAATTTTTAATTTTCTTTTAATTTTCCATTCGATATTACCGGAAAAAACTGGAAAGCATATGATATCCTTAAAGCATTGGAATTATTTCAATTTATTTACAATTTATGAAAAGTAACGATTTTATATCCGTAATTAATGCTAGGTCTACGATAAGATTAAAAAAATAAAAACAATTGGTTCACTTATTTATTTATTTATTTTCCCTAACAGTTCACAGACATGAAAAATCAAAATCAAAATCAAACAACTGATGCCAAAGTCTGGACTTCTCACACAGGTGTAAAAAACTGCGCATTCACTAAATTCACTTAATACAACCCCACATCAAGCCTTTTAAAAATGTTCAAATTTTTTAACACCTTTTGCTCACGTCTTGTAAGTGGGGTTTACCCCCATCAGCTGACAGCGCGTTTTGGGGTTTTTTTTGTTTGTTTTTTTTTTGTTTTGTTTTTTTTTGTTGTTGTTGTTTTTTGGGTTTTTTTAAATTTTTTTATTGCTGGCTGGCTTTGAGTCAGCTATATCAAAGAAAAATTGACTTCATTTGAACCCTATCTTCTTCCTTACCACTGTTTTTTTTTTTTTTTTTTTTTTTTTAAATTATTGAAATTATGCTATTGTTTTTTCTTTTCTGAAAACTCACCAAGGACCAAAAGTGCCGCCCGGGGCGAACCGAAACACCTCCACCCTCCCCCTAGCTATGTCACTCCGATGACTTGTGACTTCGTGCTAGCTCAACCATCGACGACTCTCAAATTTCACTCACAAGCCTTGGGTCATCCCGTGGTATGGTTTTTAGCCATTTTCCAAAAGTGTGAGACGCTTGGATCGTCTCCGATAACAATAAATATTCTGCAAATGTGTTGATAAGCCGAAGAAAACGAATCAAGTGGAATAATATATCCCCTCTCCCACTGAACAATCACTACCCTGAGCTGAAATAAAAGGAAAAGCAATCCTAATTTTTATCACCTGAAAAACATCAGATAATATCAGGTTATATTTTAACTTTTCAGAAATTTAATAAATAAAATTAATTTTTAAAGATTTTTTAAAAAATTTTAAAGAAACATTTTTTTTTTTTTGTCTATCATTGAATTAAAATATACATACCCAAACGCGAACGTACAAACACATAGAATTTTAATGGAGCTTATATGGATATCAGTGATGCAAGGACTAATTTTCTGTCTGGCAACAAACACTGGATAACTGGAAAAGAATATATGCGGAAATGTGCAACACTTTGAAGTCATTTTTCATGTTTATGTTGCCTGTAGTTTAAACTGAATTCTGTCGTATTTTAAATAGATAAGGAATAGATAAAATCAATTTAAATTTTTTTTTTTTTAATTTTGAAGAACTATTTTTTTATATCTGTCATTGAATTAAAATATTGATTCCCACACGCAAGCGCACATATAGACCGAGTTTTAAAAGAGCTGAATTGGACATCTGTATCGCGAGGATTAATTTCCTTTTATAATTTCCCTTTTTTTACATGCAAGACGAACAATGATATCATTCTAAGTTTATGTTTTTATGATAATTTTAAGTCATCCATATTTACTCTTCTTAACTGTTATAAAACGATAAATCTAAGTATTTGGTGGTGATTGAACTAAGTACAGAATTAATTATTCAAAAAGCTTCATGCTTTGATGATCTACAGCACCTAGAAGTTTTACAATAATAAAACAAAGTGTGGGGGGACAAAGTGTAGAAAGACAAAATGACGATGGGCAAAAAAATGTCGAACAGCCAAAGTGTCGAACGGACAAATTATCAAGCGAACAAAGTGTCGAATGATCCGGTGGATAAAAGCGTTGTTTGAATTCAGTGACTTAACCCAAAGAGTTGTGAGTTCAGTACTTGGCTACTACAGTGGTGAACCACAACTTGGTCAGTAGAGTTAAAGGGAGATAACCTAGACATCCAGAAGAGGCATGACACGTGGAACTAGAACAAACTACCTCGGTGGATGAAGTAAAGGGTTCAGTTCGAAATTGCAATCACTTGAAGACGACCGGAGCGTACAGCGACCGAAACGTCGTGAATATGGCAGTAAAGATGAGGACAACAGTCCGAACAATGCAAATAATGTACACAAAGTGCCGGATATTTCTAAATATGATGAAGATATAATTCAGAAGGAAGAAGGTGCTATGGGATTGTAAGTTGTACCGCATGGCAGCTGGAAGCCCGTAAAGAATTGTCCGGGGCTGTGCTAGAAAATAAAAAAAAACAACTGCTCGGTTTGAGTCCTGGGAGCGGACAAACGGATTTTCGTCACTCTATGAAGTGAAGTCATGAAGCAGCCGTCAAGTGAGCCATGTGACGTCATCACAAGCTAAGGGAGATAATCGAATTTTTTTTTTTTTATCCGTACACAAGCATATATGCTAAACATATGTACCAACTATATAAAATGCTTATAGTAATAAGAAATGATACTGAATAGAAAAAAAAATAAATCCATTAATTGTTTAAAAATTATTTTCTCTATGTTTGGAGCGCGAAAATAAACTTAGCAGATACAGATCGCGAAATATCACAAGTGCATTTCTTAAATAGGGTAATTTAAGCTCGGTTGGATGTAATGGATTCCCTTAGCTTATTGATAAAGCATGCCAGGTTTTACAACGATTTAAATTCGTTTCCTGTATAG